ACACATAGATATTAATATATAGAATTATTTTAACTCCATTTTAAAACACGACTGACATGGTCATGTAACATTGAATTATTTAAATTTTGTCTTAATACAAACACATATATAATCCGACACAATGTAACGTTTTACAATTACTACAACATAATAAGAAGTGGTAATGTGTTTATGTATTGTACTGTATAAGGTAGGTACCATTTAATATAATCAACCTAGTATTTTACGTATTTTCTCGTGTCAACAATAAACGTTACGAAGTTTAATGATGATGTCTTACTACAAAGCTTCTCTTGGCAAAGCATTTCAAAATTTTACTTTTATCTTTTATTTTTTCCACTTTGCTTTTCTATTTTTTTGTTATCTTTTTAATTATTCGATGTGCATTGTACTCTGGAAATGTCTTTGTTCTTTTTTGTTGATGTTTCTGGTTGAAATCAATGATTTGTGTACATATATGCATTTTCCATTGCTGTGTCCATATTTCCAAAAGCGTTTCGTGCGAACTCGACAAAATTGAACAATATGTTTCTTTTCTTGGCAAGCTCGTGTCACGCGACTATTCCTGCCAAAATCGGGTGAGAATGCAGAAGACACCTTTGTCAATTCTTTCGGTTATTGTCCATTGTGAAGGAGGTATCAATGAAGTTGCTTGTCACTAGGGATATATAACAGTTGGTGTTGACGTTTTTTATTGAAATATCACAATTTTTCACTGCACAGCAAACAAAAAGCTTATTTAACTATTATTTCAGATAGAATATCGAGGAAATGTCTAAACAAAGTGACACCGAAGTAAACAGTACGAATGGTATTGTGTTTATAATATGTTTAAGATTTAGGATTTGGTTTACAATTGTCACATTTAAATTGATGGATAGGAAGTTTATAAGTTAGGATGCCAGTTTCCGATAACAATTAATATTGCTAACGCACGGTAACAACGCGATAGAGTAGTAAGAAGTTTATAACGCAACAGTATCACGTTTAAACGGGGCAGTGTGAAAATTTTTTGTTGCGTGACCTGCATTGTAGTAGCATAGAATATTTCTTTTTTATAAAAATATTCAAAGGGAATTTACAGAATTAACAGAATTCCGCATTTATACCAGCGTGTAACAGTGTTACCTCATCACTGATGTGTTAACTAGTATATAAATATATCTGTTTGACTCAATAGACTACAGCTTCACTCAAATTTAACCAGTCATTTTATTAAAATAATAATTAACAGCTTTTGATAAAAGTTTTTCAGTCAATGTTTCTTTTATTATTCATTTCATTTAATAAAGGATCCCTGCGTGAAGAATCTATTATTGACGTAGAAGAAAACGTGACGTCAGCTGATCAGAGAGAAGATTCGGACAACGAGGACATCAACAAATCTGGCTCGTCTTTTATACGGTATTTCATCATTGTCAGCTTGTTTGTCCTTCTTGCAACAGGCGGCATCACCTTGTATTTTACTGGTAAGTGATAAATGACGTTGCGTTGTCTTTATAGGGCGTTCCTCGTGGGTGCCGCGGTTCCAATCTTTTTTGCCAGGCCAATTGTAATTAGATAAAAAGAATTACTTTTGTTAATCAATTTTACTATTACCTATTGCTTTTACCTATTTTTTAAAAAAAAAATGTGTTAATTGTTTTCACCATCGTTCATTTCTAACTTTTAAAACCAAATTATTCACTCAACATTCCAGTGTTCATGACACGAGAGCTATTGCCTTCCATAGACGAGGATACCACTTTTTCAGTACAAGAAAATGTACCCGGCCAAGCTTCTGTCAAAGGTAAAGAAAACTTAAATATATCTGAATATTTCAAATATGTTTTTTATATAAAAGGTTAAGGCTTTTACAATTTCTTGAACTTGTTTAATGAAAGATATTTTTTGTTGTATTATATGGCAACGAATAAAATTATGTTTGATTACATGATTACGCGCATTGTTTTACCACATGACTTTTATTATTGTTTTACCACATGACTTTAATCATTGTTTTACCACATGACTTTAATCATTGTTGTACCACATGACTTTAATCATTGTTGTACCACATGACTTTAATCATTGTTTTACCACATGACTTTAATCATTGTTTTACCACATGACTTTAATCATTGTTTTATCACAGGACTTTAATCATTGTTTTACCACATGACTTTAATCATTGTTTTACCACATGACTTTAATCATTGTTTTACCACATGACTTTAATCATTGTTTTATAACATGACTAAACGCATTGTTTTATAACATGACTAAGTGCGTTGTTTTATAACATGACTAAACGCATTGTTTTATAACATGACTAAGTGCGTTGTTTTATAACATGACTAAGTACATTGATTTATCACATGACTAAACTCATTGAAATTATTGTAAAATGAACTTGTTCTGACATTAGATATTTCTTCAGGTATTTATTTATTTCCTTACATTCTTAGAGACTGTTTGCTTGCCATATGGACATATTATAACCGGAAGTGCTACGTGTACAGCTCCACGCCTGTGCATAGTTCAGACGCAAAGGTAAGTTTGCCACGAGTTTAAAGCCAGGCAAGTTTTGTACGTATAAGTTCTATACCATTTGGTAACTTTTTTGTATTTTTATATTGAAATCCCTTAAACTCTTATTGGAATGTTCCAGATTCAAAACAGGACAAATCAATACCACACATTCAACAGGTTTAGCGTTAATAGAAGTCATGTCATGGTACATTAACAATATCTGTTATACGTTGCGGTTCGGATCAGGATACCCGGTCCGAGGGTACATGTCCATTATGGCGGTATCTTGGCTTTCCTATGTTAGATGAAATTTTCGACATAGGTTCTCAGACCAGTCCGATATGCATGGAATTGAATATCTACTCTTTGTCAAAGGGCTTCTACCCACGTGACATTGATCTCGTATCCCTGGGAGTAAGAAAAAGTTAGACGACTCATAATTATGTGTTATCTTTATTTCAATTAATTTCTCTTCATTTACAGGAATATTGCGCGGATTTAGACGCACTCCCCCTTGTTAATGATAGCAAGGAGGCGAAAAATGTTCAAGAATTCATGAATACCCAAATAAACAGATATATAGGTAGGTTTAAATCTTCTACGGAAGTGAAAATGAATGAACCTTATTGTATTTTTGTTGTTGTTTTTTTTAATGAAAATCTTGTCTAAATGAAAAACAATCATTGGTAGTTAAGAATAAAATAACTTGTGAAAATGAATTATAATCATTGGTAGCTTTGTATAAATAGCTTGTCTAAATGGAAAACAATTGATGGTAGTTTGGAATAAAAAGCTTTGGTAGTTTCAAATACAAAGATTGTGGAAATGAATTAATTAATATGGTAACTTTTCTTCGATTAGGATCGTGGTTTCGAGTCCTTTTAGGGCGGTCCAAGCTATAATCTTCCACTATATTTGACCATATATTTAACCTATTGATTTGCTGAATAATGGAAAAAAGAAAGTATTATTTTAGTGAATATGGAATATATGAGAGATATTGTGTACATTTTTAACAGCGAAAAGTTGAGCAAATAATTTTTCATGTACCACAAAATGCGAGATAAAATTATTTAAAAAGTCAGCAGTTCATAATTTGGTAGCTATTATTTTTGACAGGATGTTGTATTGCCGAACTTGAAATGTTTGCTCACCACTTTGGCTTTCTTGAGGACCCTTTCGAGGATGGACAAGATGAGCATACTGACCATACGCCACAATGTAAGTTCTACAATAATTAACTTTTTTCTGATGTATTTTATATCCTTTAATTTATATAAGCTTCTTTACACAGCTGATCATGTTTTTAAATTCAAGTTCATTTAATGTCGCCTTTCGTTATCTCGTTTATGGTACATGAATTCAAATTCTTGTCGACCATACACCGCTTTTGCTGGAAGGTACGAATTTTTCACATTGAAGGTTCAATGATAACTGCCGCATGAACACATCTACAGATGATTCTAATTTCAATATTTACCTTTTTTATTTCAAGCCAGTACTAGTGACGTGGACGGTAACTTGCATCTTTTATTTCTGGCCATGAATAAGCTCAATCAAACCGAACATGCAACAGTTTCAATTTTGTCGGTCTTTAGAGATCCCATTTCTCTCTATTCTGTCTTCATTAGTAACAATTTGTTGTCTTTATAATGTTTCACATTAATTAACCAATTTTTCATTTTTTGAAGTAGTCTTGAATGCCAAGACTACTGTGAAGAATCTTGCAGACGACAAATCAAGTACAGATGGTGTTACACAGCCAGCGTTAAAATCCGGTTGGCCTTTTTTCATTAATCCAGATATAGAAGAACATGAAATGCATTCACTGCCACAAACAACTAAAAGTACTAACACAAAGATGGTGTCGATCAGTAACTCTTTACCTACTCCCACTTCCAGTTTCGGATTTTGGTTAGGCGCCGGACACCAGCATAACCATGGCACTGAAACGGAAGCCGTAGACGAAAATTCTACCCCTAATCACCATCAACCAACAGTTCATAGCAATGCAGAATTAGAAGACGGTGGACTAGAGCAAGACAGCGACAAAACACAGACAACCAAATCACAAGATAATCAAGGCGCCAGTGGAGAAATGAAGGCAATAAGGAATGAGTCTGTATTTTTATACTGCAGGAGTCTCGTGTACATTTTTCATGCATGGCATGATGTTGGTTGTAACAGAAGTTTTATACAAATCTGTGAAAGAAATCCTTCACCGGAAATTGGATTGAACACCGACATTTTGCCCATCTTAGGGTAAATATTGAGTGCATAGGTGAAAGTAAAAAACAACTTTCATATTTTGCTATACTTTTGTATTCTATTTGGCAAAAATTATAAACAACCCACCTGACTCGCGAAATATTACATAAGTATCAAGTAACGTACAATTTATGAAAAGAGTGGAACAGTCTTTTTACATTTTAGGCAATTTCGATTTTTTTTTATCCTAACCATTATTTTATCAAGATTTTTTATCAATGACTCTTATAATAGTCAATCATTCGAACTTCATAACAATTTAGCTAATCTTGACAACGACAAAATGAGCATAATGTCAGCAGTACATAACCAATATTACTTTGCTAATCCACTTTTTATGTTCTTGTTTTCCTCTCTTTTAAACCTATACTTTTTGTTATTACCAAATATGATATGTTTCATCTAATAAGATAAAAGTAAAAAAAAAGAGAAAGGTTTGTAATGTTTGATTAAATGGTATGATAACTTTATTAAAAACAAAAAACAAAAACAACAACAACAACAAATCCCATGGAAGTGCTTCAATAGAAATGTCAGGGATTTGATGTCATGATTAGAGGATATTGAATAAGTGTAAGTTCAATACTGAACTATTGTACGAGTTGAATAAAATTATATTAAACGAGCCTCTGGCGTGCATTATATTTTTTTATTCAACGAGTGCAATAAACTCAGTAATGAACTAACACGAATTTAATAATTTATTTATCACATACCCAAAATAAAGACCGTTTAAAGTGAAATAAGAGTCATTTTTCATTGTCGCGCCTATAGTTTATCGCTAACATTTAGAGCGTCTTTACACTATGTTTGCATAACGCTAATGACGTCACGTCAAAATATATGCACGGCCGTGCAATATCATATTTACGGAGTCGCAAAATCGGTACGGGTGTGTGATAACCACTGTTTGGTTATGCAACTCAACCTTTCAACACTTTTATTATTAAAACTTAAAAATATCATAAGCTGCTTTGTACCTGACCAGACACTCGTCATCTGTTCTGATACCAAGATGATGTGGTCGCTCTCAGCAATACCAAGCAGATGTGGTCGCTCTCAGCAATACCAAGCAGATGTGGTCGCTCTCAGCAATACCAAACACATTTGGTCGTTTTCAGAAATACCAAGCAGATGTAGTCGCTCTCAGAAATACCAAGCAGATGTGGTCGATCTCAGCAATACAAAGCAGAATTGCTCGCACTAAGCAATACCAAGCAGATTTAATCGCTCTTAGCAATACCAATTGGATTTCGTCGCTCTCAGCAATACCAAGCAGATTTGCTCGCTTTCAGAAATACCAAGCAGATTTGCTCGCTCTCAGAAATATCAGCAGATTTGGTCGCTCGCAGAAATACCTAACAGATTTGGTCGCTCTCGTCAATACCAAGCAGATTTGGTCGCTCTCAGAAATACCTAACAGATTTGGTTGCTCTCGTCAATACCAAGCAGATTTGGTCGCTCTCGGCAGGATAGGGGTTAATGTACAACGCTGGTCTGAAACACATCCGTCCATTATTTTTACAAACCAATCATTCCTTTTGAAACAACTCTTAGCATAATTGCTGCTTAAATTTTGCTCTGAATAAATGCGAATTTAAAGAAGAATGACAAAATAAAAGGACAGAGCTACAGATTTACCATTTACTTTAGACTTGTCTTATATATATATTTGTAGAAATAAAAGCATAATAATAATAGTATCTTGAAATAATGAGAGAACGGGTTTATATGGTCAATATCTCCATATATAACACTGGAAGTACAACCATAAGTGCATTTAACAAACACTCCGCGAAAACGCGAAATATTGCCTGTGAAAGTTTCTAGGAATACAGTACTTTTGAATGTTCATGTAAAACAGCAACTGTATCTTCATTATTACATGGATACACATCTTTATCATATACAAGTAAGAATAAAATAGAAGACAAAAGTGACAAAAAAGGTAAGTTTACTGGTGAACCAGATATCCAGAGAACGAGTTCATATGAAAGCCATCTTGATATACACCATTGACACAATTAATAGTGCATTTAACAAATACTTTTGAATGTTCATGTAAAACAGCAACCGTGTCTGTACTATCACATGAATACACATAATCATTATAAACATATAAGGTAGCATATGTTGTCCCATCTATCATGATAGCTGCGTGGACATCTTTTTGGGGTGCTGTACACATTTCAATACTAAATGAGTACGTTCCGTTGACAGGCGCAGTGAAGATTCCAGTAGATGTATCATAAGCATTTCCTTCATTTACAAGTATAGAGCCAAATATAATAGTGTTTCCAGTGCCAAGATTTTGTTTGTTTGTTATACCTTTAGCTTTAAATACTATATTTGGACCTATAAAACGAAATTTGTAACACATATTTTTTTTAAATATAACAATTTCATCTATTGAAATGAGGAATTACTTTGATAATTTTGATTATTGCTGAACTGTATAGCCACAGAAATACACGAAACATTATAAAAGTGATGAAAAGTAGAGAGGCAAGAATAATTTCCATCAGAACAATACGAATGAAATACCCAGAGAGAACTTTAGTGCATACCATTTTAAAGTAAGATGTTATCCACTTAGTTAAATGCTTTCAAAAAACTGGCACATTCGTTTTCTCTGAAACTGTTTACCCTTTTCGCCATTGCAAATCACAATATAACATTTTTGACACATAAGTTATACCGAGATACTCCGCAAATTTTGATAAAAGGACATGTAATAATGGCGGAATGGCCGAGTAGTTAACACGTCCGACTAGTAACCTAAGTATTGCTATCCCCGTGGGTTCAAACCCTGTCAGGGGCAGCCAGTGTTTGCACAGTACTGGTTGGATCCAAACGTGTGTGTATAAGCTTCATACACAATAGAACTAAAATTCTGTGTAATTAAAAAGACAAGAGGTTGCAATGACGCAAAGGTTGCAATTACATACAGTAAAATAGGTGTTTCTCATATTCTTAGGCCAAATTTGGTATAAAATAGTTAATTTCAGTCTATACTTATGAATGTTATGTAATGTTATCACATACTACAACTGCTTTTTGTGCAGACAACATCTTCGAAGGGATTTCCATCACAATATTGACCATTTATTGACGGGGGCGGATTTGTGCAGGTACGTGATCTAGACTTTAAACCGTCCCCACATGTCACTGAACATGCGCTCCATTGTCCCCAGTTAGTCCAACCACCATCTTGAATACGAAAAATCATTGATATAAAAGTCATCCGTACAATACAATGTGTTGTCTCTCAAAATATTGAAAAAATAAATTAAATAAACGGTGTAAAGAAAAACTTTCAAATGATTTTGCATGTAATTATATTGAAAGGATATCAGCCAGTACACGTCATTACGCATGCAGAAGCAACTTAGGTGTTCACGAAACACTAAAAGAAACCATACTCTATTTATTGGGATTCAAATGGAAAAATGTAATTGATAAAGAACGAGAACAACAAAAATCACGCAATTACAAAATATACTTTGAAGAATTCAAAATTTCACCTCACATATAATTGATTTAATCATTGTCGGCCAATTATTTCAACCATTCATTTAAGCCATTCATTTTTGAGTTGACGAATATTTAGCTCGACTAGTAAAATAATATGAACTCTTTTACGGTATATGAGAAAAGTTTTCAATTTTTAGATTATATTATCATTAACAGTGTAATTTTTTTGTATACGTGAGATGGTAGAGATGCAATTCCTAGAGCGCATACTTATGTAGGGCCTAAATTCTTCCTTTAAATAAACACTAGTAATATAATCTTCACATTGCATAATGTAAGAATTTTAAGTAAAACACATTATCCCTAATTTTTAATCTTATTTCATGATAAATAACGTTTAAAGGTGAGATGAATACGTGCATGTGCAAGAGAACTGAAACAGCGACACCTACCGGGAGCAGACACTGATGCAGGAATAGAGGAGGCACATATAGTTTGGGTGGAACTATCAAAAATGTCTACGAGACTGAGATGTGTGCTTAAGGGAACAATATGCCGCAGAAATCCATATTAAAAATTCATTAGAACTCTCACAAATGTTGTAAATGATGTTTTGATAATGGATTAAGAGCATGTAAGATATTTAGCTGCTGAAGAACGTAGCGCTGAATGTGCAATAATGTTTTCATAAAAGTAGCAAACTGTAAACAACGTGGTATTTTGACTTCAATACAAAATACTTATTTACTGTAATTATACCAATTGACAAAAAAGCAAAAGAAGCAAAGATGGCAAATGGAAAGTCGTTTGATAAGATATCACTTTTTTTGAGAAATAGAATTGATAGCGTTTTATTAATTGGGCATTATGGGCCCATAAGAGGACAAATTCGATTTTAGACTGTTTTGACTGCATGATCGTATTTAAAACTGGCGATTTGTTCTTTATGTATATAAACTGTAGAAAATTTCGAAGAAAAATCACAATATTCTCGAGATAACCGTGAAAAACAGTTTTCTGATTCCGATGCAGATTCGATTTGTACAAATTTGGTGGGTCTTCCTTGCAGTAATATAAGATCCTAAGCCTCAACCCAAATATAATGTCCAGGAGTAAAATGGTCGTTTTTCGGACTGTATATATTTCATTAAAACAGCATATTCTAGAGGTAACCCTGAAATCATTTGTCTGATGTCTTTAAAGAAATATATGGCCCAAGCCCTAACACAAGTAAAACTCCTGTACATTTCCTCGTGGCATGGTCGTTTCTTATATCGGCGATTTGTTCTTTCCGTGTTTATTATGTAGTAATTTTTGTAAAACAAGAGCCGGTTGAACCGGGTGATGCTCCCTGAATAAGTTTTGGACACAATAAGGTATACCTCTTGTAATGACAGAGTTATGTCAAGACAAAGTTCAAAGTGTAAAAGCAACCCAAATGTTGCTTGCGACACGTCGTCTCAATATGGTGACCATTTTTGTGAAATAGTTGTAAAATCCGACTTCAAATAACGAAGTTATGGGTTGGACACGATTTTGCTGCAAGGTCATGCTGTGACATTGACCTTCAAGGAAGCGACCCAAATATTGCGCGCGACACGTCGCCTCAATATGACGATCATTTCTGTGAATTAGTTGTAAAATCCGACTTCGAATAACGAAGTGATGGGCCGGACATGATTTTGCTTCAAGGTCATGCTGTGACCTGACCTTCAAGGTAGCGATCAAAATGTTGCGCGCAACACGTTGTCTCAATATAGTGATTATTTCTGTGAAATAGTTGTAAAATCTGACTTCAAATAACGAAGTTATGGGCCGGACACGAATTCGGGACTACGGACGGGCTGACAGACGAAAGGACGATGGACTAACCGACGACTATATGCTCCCCCGAAAATTTTCAATTTAAGAAACAAACAAACAAACCACACACTCAATATTCTCGGGACCATTGTGAAAAAAAATCAATTTTGAACTAGCTTTATGGGACTTCGTTAATATAAGGCCTAATGCCAAAAACCAAGAAAAATATCCAGGAAATTTCCGCATGGCATTGCCTGACTTTAATTTTATTATGTTTTTCATTTTTGATGATTTTTCAAAAATGTTCATTTTACATGTATTTTAGTTATATGCTACAGTGAAATTTTTAAGTGATGATTTATGGGTTATGTAAATTTTAACGATAAAGATTCCATAACAATCCAAAAACATTAAAAAGCTACTGGTATTGATTTTAGATGTGTGTCACTGAATTGCTTTTCAATTTCTTTAAATTTAGATTTTAAAAATAAAATTTAGCTATCGAACAATGAATAAACATACATGATTAAAATCATGACAAACTGAAGACAAACTTTAGGAAACCTACTTGCCTACTTGCATGGACCCAGTAAGCATATTCTATCATCTAATGTGTAGATAAACCTACTTGCGCATGGACCGGGTAAGCATATTCTATCATCTAATGTATCGCCGAAACATTGAAGTCCGTTTCTGTCTGGTATCGGGTTCGAGCAATTACGATGCCGTCTTTCAATACCTACACCACATGTTACAGAACACGCGTCCCAGTTCGACCATTTTGTCCACCCACCATGTACTTTGAAAAATATAAGCTATTCAAAATGAAAGTGTCTTTTAAACCTCATATATATTTTATATAGACTATTCGTTTGTTGGTTTGAGTTAAACGGCACATTGTCACATTTCTGGTTATACCGCGCTGAACACCGAATTCTTACAATGTGATTATATAGTCTGAAGTGAATTATTGGCTTATAAATTGAGTAAATAAAATCTTAGAATACAAGTAGATTTGCTTAAGTAATCGATCAATATTTTGGTAGGAACTGAAAAAAACGGTCTGCAAGATCATGGCATTTAAGAATGAAATTTTTAACAAGCTTTACAACGTTCATTATAATCTCCTGTTAAAGCATGAGAATGTGAAACGCAAGTGTATCCATTTTGTCTAGATCATGACAGAAATAAAGATAAACACTAAATATTGTTTTCAGATTAAATAGTTTTTGGTTTCAGATAAGAAATAATAATTTGTAATTGATTTAGAGTACGCAATACTTAACATGTTTATCAGTACGCTATTGTCATGCTGAATTCATACCTGGACAAAGTTGTTTTAAGCATGTCTTTATATCAGTGCGTGTTCCGGCGCAATCAAGTCCGCCATTTGCTGGAGGGGGATCGGAACATTGTCTTGTTCTTGTCTGGGTCCCATTTTCACAAGTGACGTCACATGTAGACCACGGAGACCAGCTTGCCCAATTCCCATCCACTGTTTTAGGATTAAAAGTGATCAAATGGACCATGCCAAATAAATGAAATAAAAAATTATATTCTTGGAGCAGTGTTACTGAACCGCAGCAATTCGAATACCCTGAATGCACATAATGTCCATTTTAGCCTGCGTGGTTGAGTTAAGAATTTTTATGTCTACTAAAAAATACGCATTTAATTTTATCAATATTTCGTTTAAGTATTTCATATGAATCTTGGTTATTGATAAAACAACAGGTTGTTTTTATAAGACTGTTATAGTTTCAAAAAACCTTCTCATATAAACAACAGCCACTCTTGAAATTGATTTGTAAACAAAATGAAAATCATTAACTATAATTATTTTAAAAACAAATGTGGAAAGTCAAATCGTTAAGCTTACCAAGTGAACACAGCGAACAGAAATTTGGACATATTAACTTTGCTCGCTGAATATCCTTACAAATATTGAAAAAGCTATTTAGAAATGCACAATCCACTTTCACATCATCAATACATGATCCGGCTGAAATATTACGTAATATTGTATTAGCAATAAACTATCCCGTATGTAAACAAATGCTCTTTTATAAAAGATTGCGACCACTCAAACCTCAATAAATATCGACCCATGTCGGTAATGCTCCGAAACTGTTTTGGCATCCAGAATATGTAATTTTAGTTAGTGTTTATGCTTTTGTCTTTTTTGTCACGTGATAGGATGTTTTCATTGTGACGCCATTATTTAACCCTTTAAGAATTTGATTTTAAGTTAAACGAATGCTTTGTTCGTTTTTTTTATATGTAATCCTGAACTTAACATTGTTTAGTTACAACACGAGAAAAGTAATATATGAAAGAAAAAGCTTACGTGTCAAATGTGAACACAAATTTTTATTGCATTTATCTTTACTACAACATTCATGGCAGTCCAAAGTTTGTCGAACACTTATCTCTCGACCGATCAAATTTCCGGCACCACTGGCACTTACTCCACATAACTGTAAAATGAAAATATGACTTATAGACAAGAAACTACAAAAGTGGAGGTATGTGCATATTAATATCTGTATATGGCTTATACAGTTTAAGTCGGCGATGGTTGGGAATTGATACAACTTATCTTATAATTATATTGTCCATTTAGAATATCAGTACTTTGAAATAGAGAAAATAAGAATCCATAAAGAAAGCACAAAAACGGAAAAATTAAATGATCAAGCCTGTTCATAACCAAGATGATATCTTTGCTAAGACGATATTGGAATTATGTAATAAATCATGTCACTCATTTTGCTGTACACTTGTTTTTTATATGAACCAAATTTTAGAATTTTGCTAATTTTGTAAAAAAAAATTTCGGGATATCTCTTGCCTACCTGATTGTCTGTACATCCGAGGGTGATTGTTTGTCCTGTTGATTTTACTTCTATGTGACAAGACTATAAAATTACAAGTCAGCATGATAAAAAGCGTTAATATACATGGTAACTGACAAAGCAATTAGTTTTGTAAAGTCACTTTTATATAACAATTTTTACATCGACATAATGATTATAAATATTATGATAGCAAGCAAATGTTAGAATAATTTAACAGCATACTGAAACTCCCATGTATGGCAATTTCTACAAATACTTTAACGGTAAAGCTTATTCTATATTTACTAAATATTATTAAACAAGATATGTTTGTAAAACATGTATGCCCCCTATCAGCAGCCAATTAGTCATGTGATAAGGTTATTATGACTTCTGACCCAGTGATCAAACAATTATTAAGGGTTATCAAGTATCTACTGGTCATGACCTTAACCTTTGACCCCTTGACCCAAATCTCAATAGGGGTCATCTGCTGGTCACGACCAATCATCATACAAAGTTTGAAGTTCCTAGGCCTAAGCATTTTTAGTTAATTGATCGGAAACCGTTTTAACATACAAGGTCAATGTGACCTTGACCTTTGACCCCTTGACCCCAAAATCAATAGGTCATCTGCTGGTCATGACCAATCACCATACCATGTTTGAAGTTCCTAGGCCAAAGGGTTCTTAAGTTATTGATTTTGAAAGCATTTTTACCTACAAAGGTCAAAGTGACCTTGCCCTTTGACCCTTTAACCCCAATATCAATAGGGGTCATCTACTGGTCATGACCAATAATCATACCAAGTTTGAAGTTCCTAGGCCTAAGGGTTCTTTAGTTATTGATCGGAAACCGTTTTTTACCCAAGAGGTCAATGTGACCTTGACCTTTGACCCCTTGACCCCAAAAAATCAATAGGGGTCATCTACTGATCATGACCAATCACCATATCAAGTTTGAAGTCCCTAGGCCTAAGGGTTCTTTCGTTATTGATCGGAAACCGTTTTACCTAAGAGGTCAATGTGACCTTGACCTTTGACCCCTTGACCCCAAAATCAAATAGGGGTCATCGACTGATCATGACCAATCACCATACCAAGTTTGAAGTCCTAAGCCTAAGGGTTCTTTCGTTATTGATCGGAAACCGTTTTTACCTACAAAGTCAATTTGACCTTGACCTTTGACCCCTTAACCCCAAAATCAGATAGGGGTCCATCTCTGGTCATGACCAATCACCATACCAAGTTTGAAGTTCCTAAGCCTAAGGGGTTCTTTCGTTATTGATCGGAAATGGTTTTTTTACCTACAAGGTCAATGTGACCTTGACCTTTGACCCCTTAACCCCAAAATCAATAGGGGGGTCATCTGCTGGTCATGACCAATCACCATACCAAGTTTGAAGTTCCTAGGCCTAAGGGTTCTTTTGTTATTGATCAGAAACAGTTTTTACCCAAGAGGTCAATGTGACCTTGACCTTTGACCCCTTGACCCTAAAAATCAATAGGGGTCATCTACTGATCATGACCAATCACCATACCAAGTTTGAAGTTTCCTAGGCCTTAAAGTTCTTTAGTTATTGATCGGAAACCGTTATTGCTTACAAGGTCAATGTGACCTTGACCTTTGACCCTTGACCCCAAATCAATAGGGGTCATCTACTGATCATGACCATCACCATAACCAAGTTTGAAAGTTCCTAGGCCTTAAAAAGTTTTTTTAGTTATTGATCGGAAACCGTTTTTGCTTACAAAGTTGCAATGTGACCCTTGACCTTTTGACCCCTTAACGTATGCCCCAAAATCGATAGGGATCATCTACTGATCATGACCAAATCACCATATCAAGTTTGAAGTTCCTAGGCCTTAAGGTTCTTTAGTTATTGATCCGGAAACCGTTTTTTGCTTACAAGGTCAATGTGACCTTGACCTTTGACCCCTTGACCCCAAAATCAATAGGGATCATCTACTGATCATGACCAATCACCAATATCAAGTTTGAAGTTCCTAGGCCTTAAGGGTTCTTTTAGTTATTGATCGGAAAGCCGTTTTTTGGCTTACAAGGTTTTTTCCCCCCCAAAATGTGACCTTTTGACCTTTGACCCTTGACCCCAAAATCAATAGGGGTCATCTACTGGTCATGACCAATCAACCATACCAAGTTTTTGAAGTTTTCCTAGGCCTAAGGGTTCTTAAAAGTTATTCACTTGGAAACCATTTGGTCTACGGACCGACGGACCGACGGACCAACGGACCGACGGACCGACGGACCGACAAGTGCAAAGCAATATACCCCCTTTTCTTCGAAATGGGGGCATAATAATATGACAAATTCTACTTCTATTTACCGACCTTTCAGGTAAAAGAAATGCTATGCTAGTTTTTCATTTAACAAAATATGACCCGCTGTTAACAAAGCCCTTACATTCCATTTACCAGTTGCCGATGGCAGACCTAGCCCCGAGGTTATAAAAAAATAAATTGTTATGTCTGAAATCTCAAGAATTTAATTGGTCAATGAATACCCGATATCTAAAGTTGGGCGTAGATAATTTCTTTCTAACCTTGGATTCTGTATGTGCCCGGCTTGAATTTTATCTTTTATTGACAAACTAAAGGTATCTGCCTGATTATTAATATAACAATATTCTCTTGTTGGCAATAATCTGACCTTCAGTGTAGAATATTTGCCTAACCCTTATTATATTCAATAACTTGACGACATTTACCAGAATAGTATTATATTATGCGAACTTGTACATTTCTTTGACCAATATGGCATTATGATACTGTTAGATATTTACCTGACCGGCATGGCATTCTGTCACTGTGAGGCATTCACCAACGTCAGCAATGTCGGTACAATTGTAACACTGCAAGGCGTCTAAAGTAAATGTTTTATAATGAAGTACACTGAATATGCTTTGTTATAGTGTTGTAATATGCTACTGTGTTAAAGTTATAGTAAAGGTCAGCTTTATTTCTACTATAAGTAACATCTATTCTTTTAAATGACATACATTTATCATGATGTAAAAACACTCCATGGCCCCATTTTATTATCCTGTTTATATAGAATATATTGCAATATGAAGGTAAAATAATTTGTGTACAAAAAACTACAAATACGCTGAAAAGGTTGGTTTTTATTTAACACACACTTTCATTTGGATATTAATATACATACCTATTTTCATTGTTTATCGAAAACAGCTAGCATTCTGTTTAAAGTTAAAAAACTGAAAACATGGCGCTAGATAAAAAGTAGACCAGAAAACAGGTGCTCATTTTTACCAAGTGATCTGGGCAATATAATTTGTATTGAGACCGAAATTGATAGTAACAGGATAATAATAATAACCTATATAGATATATAATATAGATTCTTACCAGATGTCTTTGGAAAGACAAGCAGCAGGTATATCGAAAAACCTAAAAATATATAATTTGTAATGTAATTTCAATTATTTTTTTTTATTCTTTTGAAGGATATTTACAAATATATTTGTGTTATGAATTATTTTGGTTTATAGCGAATTAAATGCGTAACAGCTAAAGGCGACTTTAATTGGAGACACATGTACTCAGTAAAGCGTTAACTTAAAAATAATTAAATGTCATTTCAGATCATTTTGGCTTACACACATGTAGGCATAATGAGAGTCCATCCACCCTTTTAGGCACTGAAATATGTATGGACCTCGGATATGTCACCATTCATATTATCTGTCAAAAGATGATTCACTTAATTAATATGCATGCCATTGGAGAAAGTTTGTAGAAAATATTTATGTCCATTTTAATGAGTGTTTTTGCTATTTTCATCTTCATTTAAATTTAATAATAATAATAATGATAATAATAATAAAAAAAAGAAGATTTTACCTAACGTAATCGCAATCATTCTGTTTTCATGTGCCCGCTTTGCAAGTTGTCCCGTCTACTGGCACGAAACTTGTTCTCATTTATTAGATAACCATAAGAACATGTACAAGATATGACGCTATCTGAATGACATAGAGTCCTATAGATACGAATAATTTCACAAAGACTCAGACATACCAATATATATATATATCACGTTGACGTAAGCTCTTACCTTATAACCTTAGATAAGATTTATTTTAGTAGTACGCAAAAGTATTTAAAAATATTTGAAATTGCGCATATTGTGATGATAAGCATCATTGAAAGCAATTTTTACATATTATATTATATTGCATTTTACTGACGGTTTAAATCTATAGAACTTAGTTTTGTTCCTTAAAGTAAACGGTAGATTGTCCGACTGTATAGAACCATTTTAACTATGCAAATGATTTTGCACCACAACCTTTCGTTAAAAAGTCATTGTTACATTGTTTTCGTTCTTTCAGGGATATTCATAAAATTATTTCTGAAAGATTTTTTTATATTGCATATTGAAAAAGTCTTGACAGAATGCATTCTGCTATTGTTCTAAAGCTTGAAAAACATTCATTAAAAACACTGACAATCTTATTTTCATGTTTTGACACAAAAACGACGGAATTTTTTGAATGACAGAAAATCACACAGAACACTAGAAAATGACAATTTAAATTTATAATGTGTAATTTCACTGTGTATGGGTGTTTATAAAATATTAAAATTTTGATTTAATTACTAGCTTATTGCCCTGGCATTAGAGAAAAATCTAATAGATATATTCACTCTGAAATCCCCGCTGTTTTTACCTCGTAGCAAAAGTTTTTGTTTTTTTTATTTTTTATCTTTTTATAAAATAGCATAAGTCAAATTTTTCAAAAATCGAAATTTGAACGCTGATATTTACGCATTCACTTTCAATAAAAAATTTCTATGGGGTTGTATAGTAAATTTCCCCCTTTTAGCACACGGTAAGGGGAATAATTTTTCCTTGCCCTTATGGGTCTAAGTTTAAAAATTTTTAAAAATAAAAACGGTCAGAAAAACCAACAAAATAGGTTTGCCCCACAGGGGACCCAGACATCCTGCTATCCGCGAGTCTGATCGGGATCCAGGCGCTTATCTTTTCTCTACTTTAAAAAGTTGGTAACAACAGCATACCTGATCAGACTCCCGGGGATGCGCGGGCGGGTTGGTCCATGCGGGTCGGCTTCGTTTTTTTTGTCGTGACGCGGGCTCAAATTGATAATATATTACTAATTCTAACAATAAAAGACGGGATGCCGTCTAAACGAGTACATATAATGGAATCTTAGAATACCATAATATTTTTTTTTTTTCAATTAATGAAATTGAATAATATTGAGGTACTTTAGATGAAAGACAAAATAAACAAACTACTCCCATCAACTATTTAATTCTGTAGGTATATTTGCAGTAGGTTTGGTGAAATAGAGAACAATATCTATATACTTCATTAACATTGCGGTTTTATCAAAGTTTGTTTCATCATATATTTTCAAACATTAATGAATATTATAATCGGTTCTAGTCATTTCACGTGTGGTTTCTACCTGTTTTAATGTAAAGTTTATTTTCGTTTTGTATTTTATACTCTTTCATATTAATTTGTATAATCTTCGTACAAATCCATATTTTCTTCCATTGTCTCTACGCATTTCCTAAAAAGGGCAATGTTTTCAATAACAATTAAATGTTTCACTGTCATTGAAAAAAAACCCGAAAAAACCACAAAAAACAACAGTAAGTCGTCTATAATGCAAAGATTTTTGTGCTAAGGCCCTTTTAATAACATTTACCCGCTAACAACTCACGACGATGGAAATGCAGATATGTTCGGACTTACTTTCTATAAAAGATGAAAAAAGTGCTAAAACGATAAGTTTTGTTGGGGAACAAGAATCCAAGAACCAGTTTTACCCAAGAATCTGCAAATAAAAGCCCGTACAAACCAAAGATGCATTTAAACAAAACTTTTGAATTTCAGTAAAACACCACCGATCTTGTATCACATGGTACATGCATATCATAAAACAATAAGGTAGCATGTGTTGGCCCATCTACTATAATTTACAAAGACTTCTTTCTTGACATTTGCGTACATTTTATACTAAATAGTTACTTCCGTTGACAGGCGCAGTGAAAAAATTCCATAGATGTATTATAAGCATTTCCGTCATTAATAGAGTGTAGAGCCCAAATATTATAGTGTTTCCAGTGCCAGGATTTTTGTTTTTGTTAACATGCTGGGCTTTAAATACTATATTTGGACCTGTAAAACAAAATTTTTTCAATATTATTTATTGAAGGGTATGAGTTACTTTGATAATTTTGATTACTGTTGTAATGTTTAATCACAAAAATACACGACTTATTATAAAAGTGATGAAAAGTAGAAAAACAAGAATAACTTTCACCAGCACATTACAAATATAAGAATACCCTGAGAGAACTTAAGTGCATATCATTTTAAAGAACAGTCAACAAGCTGGCACATTCGTTTTCTCTTTTCAACCTTGTCAGCATTGGAAATCACAATCTTACATCTAAGACACATTTAGTTATATCGATATTATGATTAATGGACATGTTATGATGGCGGCATGGGCTACCGAATAGTAACTTTAGTATTGCTATCCGCGTGGGTTAAAACCCCGCCAGGGACGAGCCATTGTTTTCTTGAGCAAAAAAAACATAATACACTCATTGCTCAGTACTGGTTGTATCCAGATCTGTGTCTATAAGCTTCATACACAATGGCACTAAAATAAATTCTGTGTAATTAAAAGAACACGAGGTTGCGACGACGCGAAGGCTTGCAATAAGATATAGCAAAATGGGTGTTTGTCATATTCTCAGCCAATTTAGGAATGAAAATAAACTGTTTTTTATTCTACAGTTTATGAACGTTATATAAATATTATCACATACTACAAACTGCTTTTCCTACAGGAAACAACTTCTGAGGAATCTGCATCACAATATTTTCCCAGAGGCGAGGGTGACGGATTTGTGCAGGAACGTGATCTAGACTTTAACCCGTCCCCACACGTCACTGAACAGGCGCTCCATTGTCCCCAGTTAGTCCAACCACCATCTTGAATATCAAAAATCATTCATATAAAAGTCATCCGTACAATGTGTTGTCTCTCAAAAAATTGAGAAAGCCAATTAAATAAACGATGTCGTGAAAAATATTCAATTAATTAGATTGAAAGAAAGCAGGTTGAAAGGATAGCAGGCAGTACATGTAATTACGCACGCATCAGTACTAATGCAAGAGAAGTGTGCAACAGCGACACCTACCGGGAACAGAAACAAGTAAATGAATTGAGGCACATATGGATTTGTGTGGAACTATCAAAAATGTTCGACGAGACTGAGATGTGTGATTAAAGGCACACAGTGTCACAGAAGTCCATATTTTTTATCTTTACAACTCTCACACATGTTGTTAATAATGTTTTAATAATGGATTACGAGTATGTAATATAGTTAGATGCTGAAGAAAGTAGTGCTTTATGTGCAGAAGGTTAAGGTAGCAAAATGGAAGCAAACTGATATTTTGACTGCCATACAAAATACATATACCAATTGACAAAAATACAAAAAGAAGCAAAGGTAATTCAGGTATATGGCAAATGAAGTTTTGTTGGAAACTGTAAGAACATATAAAATAAAAAGTTTTGAGAAAATAAAAATGATGGCATCAATGAGGCATAATGGGCCTTAAAAGGGGAAAAAATTGCATTTTGACTGTGAAATATGCTGTAATACAATTAACACATAAAACATGGCATTGAGGGCGTAATGCAAGTTAACAGACTGGTTGGTCAGACCTCGGGAAGTATATGCGCTTCTGACCAACCAGTCCGTAAACTTACATTTTCCCGAAAGGCAATGTTTTATTTGTTTTGTCTAAATCCTTTCACTCTTTGGTGCAGTTGTTTTTACTGTAATTTGCTTTCAAATAATAATCTTAATTTTTCAGTGTGTGAAATATCTCAAACCTTAGTAGGATTTTTTATTACTTTCAAGGTTTGCAGAAAAACCATGCTCTTCTTATGATATTCCATTTTGTTAATCAAATAAAATAAGTTAATGTTACTAGGCCACCCCTCTCCCGAATTTAAAAAACTGTATAAATAAAATTTATAATTAAATTAAAGACAAATCATGACTTTTGATCAACATGTAATAAATTTATGTGAAACATAACAATAAATTCAGTAAAAAGAATCTTTTATCAACAAAATTAAATATTATGCCTCATTTGCATACGCCCTTCTATATTTGATATGTCATTCAGTCCATATAAGAATTATGGACTGAGTAGCCGGTATTATCATATTAAATATAGAAGGGCGTATGCAAATGAGGTATAATATTACCTTTTAATGTCGTTATAACCTTTAATTATGATTTTTAATTACTTACTTTTTCAATAACATTTTTATCATTTTATATTATAATTATCAACATTTTTTTTGGTTGACACGCTACATTGATATCGACTGTTATGTCAGTTTCGACGAATCTAAATTGATTTTAAAACATTTGTGTTGATTTACAATGTCTTTCAGTGTAAAGCATTACACTTTTTTTGTTTAGATTCTAATAAGAAAATTTTGCATTGAAATAATTAATAAACATCCTTGCTTATATGTGTTGATAAACTGAAACAATTTTATCAAACTTACTTGCACATGGACGCGATAAGCATATTCTATCATCTAAAGTGTCGCCAAAACATTGAAGTCCGTTTCTGTCTGGTATCGGGTTCGAGCAATTACGATGCCGTCTTTCTATGCCTACACCACATGTTACAGAACACGCGTCCCAGCTCGACCATTTTGTCCACCCACCATGCACTTTGAAAAATATATGCTATTCACAATGAAGGAGTCCTTAAAACGATTATATATTTCATACATAATATTCGTTTGTTTGTTTACTTGAGTTAAGCAGCATATTGACACATTTCTGGTCATACCGCGCCGAACACCGAATTATTAAAAGGCGATTATAAAGTCGGAAGTGAATTGTTGCTTATAAAATGAGTTATTTATACTTAGAATGCTTTATATGATTTTTTAACTGAGAAAAAACGGTC